AACTGTGGCCTGCACTCTGCTGCCAAAGGGATTGAGAAAAACGCATTAGCAATATCAACTGTGGCATACCACTTGGCTGCCTTTGACTCCAGTTCGTATTGAAGTTCTAGCATGTCCAGCACAGCAGCACTCAGCGGTGGTGTGACTTCATTCAGGCCACGATAGTCTACTGTCAGCCTCCACTCTCCATTAGACTTTCGCACTGGCCATATGGGACTGTTAAAGGGTGAACGAGTCTTGCTGATCACTCCTTGGCTCTCCAGTCGACAAATCAGCTTATGGATGGGAATCAGGGAGTCTCGGTTGGTGCGATATTGCCGCCGATGCACCGTGGTGGTAGCGATTGGCACTTGTTGGTCTTCGACCTTCAGTAACCCCACAACAGAGGGGTCCTCCGAGAGACCTGGTGTATGCAGATGTATAAATGAGAATATTGAGTGGTAGGGGAAACATATTAACTCTATACCTGACATTAATGGGACAAAAATAGGCCAGTTCAGGTGTCAACACTTAAAAATCATGTTGAAAAACTGAGAAAGGTGGGGAGAAGAGCTGTAAGACTGATTGAAAGTGTATCTTACAATGACCCAAAGGAGCACAGTCCATTTATATTATCAAAGAGGAGTAAAAGGGATGAATTGATCAAGATCTATAAGTATCTATACATGGAGGAGGAATGCAGTATCAGAATTCTACTTAATCTAGCAGACAAAAGCATATAAGCCAGGAAGACTGGAGCTGAAAAAAAAAATCGAGTTGAAAATGAGGCACATTTTTCTCCTTAATGGCCTTGTAATTAACCACTGGAGGAGCTGACATGGGATACGGTAGGTTCTCCATCACCCAAAAAGATCTTTAAATTAAGTGTGGATGTCTTTCTACGTGATGTAGCTCATGTATCGGTGTGGGAATTGCTGGGCGAAGCTCCACGGTCTGCATTATGCAGGAGGGCAGAGGAAACCGCCATGGTGGTGCCTTGTGGCTGTGAAATCTATGAAACTATCAAAGCGATGATGTCTGTATATCGCATCCCAGCAGCATCTAGCCTGTTTATGCAACACGTTATGAAAAGACTCTTTTAGGGATATTTAGAGGGCTTTAAATATTTTATTAGAGTTTTTTTGATAGACTCTGCCTGTAAAACCAGGTAGATGAAATACACCTTATTAAAAAAAAAAAAAAAAGATTTCCTAAAATAGATTTCCTATACCCCCAAATCCCAGTATTAAAGGCCAATATCTCAGGATACTCAGGGCTTTCAGTGTGATGCTCCAAGGACTCAGCCCTTCATCATGGTTTAAAGCTCCTATTTCACGGATTTATAGATGCTAAACTCAGAAGGGACCACTGTGATTATCTAATCTGACCTTGTGCATAACGCAGGCCACAGGGCATCCCTCAAATACTTCCAGGCTACGCTGAAGCCTTCCAGACTCTTCCTTCATACCATAGCTGAGATACAGCCTTTCCCCTCCATCCACACAGCTAAACTTCACATCATCTCACGTCTCACTGCAACATCCTTCCTTCCGCCCCTGACAAATGAAATCTTTCCTGGCACATGTCCATTCACATTGCTGCTGCGAAGATCATTTGCCATTCCTATGTCTCCTTGCCTGCCTCGCTGGCTCTCCCTTCTGCCTTTCCATCAACACATCCCCTGCCCCTCACAGCCTGGTCCCTACTTCTGCCTCTTCATCGTATTTGGTACCAGCTCACTCCTGCCTCTTACCTTCCTCCCTTTTTTTTTTAATCCCCTTCTTTTCTTCTGAACAAGCCTCATGTGGTGTAGCACCAGTCCATGAGGAGGGCCCCTAAGACACATCCGTGCCGGTAAATGAAAAGATGCTGGGAGCATCTGCACCCATCAGACTAGGTTCAGCCACACGTGCTTCTAAGCCGCGACCATTTCGTGCCACTGGCTCTATGGCTTAAGGTTTATGGCAGGAAAAATGTGCCCAGAAAATCCACCTTTTGGGAGGAGAGAGAGGAATTGGGAGGGGAGATCATGGCACATTACATCTTCCTGGCAGCTTGGTTTGGTCTTCAAGACTGTCGCAGGATTTATGAGTACAAAGGTAAATCCTAGGGAGATGGAGCATTAAAAAGTGATAGAGCCATAGACATGTGAGACATTTGTTCATGCTTCTCCAGTTTACTGCAGGGATATCACCTCCAGCCTTCAGCTGTTTGAGACCAAATCCTTGACTGGTGCATCAAGATCAAGGAAACGCTGCCAAGGTATATGTGGTGGGTTGACCCTGGCTGGACACCAGGTGCCCACCAAAGCCGCTCTAACACTCCCCTCCTCAGTAGCACAGGGGAGAGGAAATATAAGGAAAGACTCATGGGTCAAGATAAGGACAGGGAGATCACTCAGCAATTACTGTCACGGGCAAAACAGACTCAACGTGGGGAAAATAATTTATTACCAATCAAATCAGAGTAGGGTAATGAGAAATAAAACAAAATCTTAAAACACCTTCCCCCCACCCCTCCCTTCTTCCCGGGCTCAACTTCACTCCCGAGTTCTCTACCTCCTCCCCCCCAGCGGTGCAGGGGGACGGGGAATGGGGGTTGTGGTCAGTTCATCACACATTGTCTCTGCCGCTCCTTCCTCCCC